AGCGCCCTGCTGAGGTGGGATGCCTTGGCCAGCGCCTTGCTGAGGTGGGATGCCCTGGCCAGCGCCTTGCTGAGGTGGGATGCCCTGGCCTCCTGCAAGCATGCAGTTAGCATACGATCCAAATAACTAGACACGCTCACGTAGCACGAATAGCATTCAAGTACCTTGAGCTGGTGGCAAGTTCGCACCACCATATCCGCCCTGTGGAGCTGGCATGTATGCTATAAGATATGTCAACATCGTCAATTGTACACAGATACTGAACAACGGTCTTACGCTTAGGCTGAGATGGTTGCGCTGGAGGAAGGTTTGTGGCACCGTACGATCCTGGCTGACCTGCTCCTGTGACAGTCAGTACAAGTCGTCATACGACAATGGTCACTACGCTTACCGCCTTGAGAGCCGAGTCCTTGTGGTCCTGCGCCTGGAGGTCCTTGACTTCCTGCTGGGCCCTGCATCTGTCCTTGTCCGGGGGCTTGACCGAATGGTGGAGCTTGGCCCATGCCATTTTGAGATTGAGGCATTGCGTTTGGAGGAGCACTGAGGCTGCCAGAGGAGCTTCGACCACCGAAGCTACCATCAAGGCCTTGGCCGTTGGTCGGCGCTCCCATGCCGTTTGGAATTTGAGGAGGCATGCCATTGGGAGGAGTGCCTTGGCCATTGGGACGGTTCTGCGGGGGAATGCCGTTCGGAGCACCAGGAGCACCGGGTGCGTTGCCCGAAACACTCTGGCTTTGAGTACCATAACCTCCAGAGCCTCCCTGACCTTTGCCGGACCCAGGCATACCACTACCACTCTGGGGAACGACTTCGTTGTTCGCGCCAGGGCCGTTCTGAGGAATGCCATTGTTAGCTCCTGCTGCGTTCGGGAGCTGACCGCCCTTCGAGCCCGTTGGGCTGTTTGGAAGGCCACCCTTGCTTGCTCCAGGACCGCCATTCTGAGCGCCACTGTTGGTAGCGCCAGGACCGCTGCTTTGCGGGACGTTATTGTTCAATCCGGGTGGGGTGTTCGGGCCGCTTCCAGGCCCGTGTTGAGAGTTACTCGGTCCAGATGCGCCATTTGGAGCGCTTCCGGAGTTTGTTGAAGGAGGGCCTTGCTGCTGCTGCTGTCCGTTCGATGGCATTGGGGAGCCAGATCCTGAATTGCCATAGCCTTTTGGCTGAGACGGCTGGGCCGGAGGAAGGTTCTTGGACTCGTACGATTGTGGTTGCGGAGGCTGGGGTTGCGGTTGCGGCGGCGGAAGGTTCTTGGCCGGATACGATGATGGAGGCTGCTGAGGCTGAGGTGGTTGAGGCTGCTTAGGTTGCTGAGGCGGTTGCTGAGGCTGAGCGGGCGGGAGGTTCTTAGACTCGTAGGACTGAGGCTGAGGCTGAGGGGGTGGTAAGTTCTTAGACTCGTAGGACTGAGGCTGAGGCTGAGGGGGTGGTAAGTTCTTTGCACCGTATGACTGAGCAGATCCAGCACCAGCAGAGCCGCCCGGAGCGGGAGCCAATGGACCTCCTTGAGCTGGACCGAGAGCGCCAGGATTCATGGCGTTTGCAGCAGCTTGAGCAGCAGGATTCTTTTGCGTTCCTGGTCCGCCATTGGCTTGACCGGCACCTATGTCACGTCAGTCGAACCCATGAGGTCAAAATCCGTGTGAAAGCGCATACCCGGAATGTCAGAGATGCCAGGAACGATTGGAGGCTGGCCATTCATAGCTTGAGCTGCGTTTGCATTCGGAGGCATATTTGCCGATGGAGGCGCATTCAACGACTGAGGTGTGTTGTCCATTTCCGAATCGTCCATATTCGAAGCATCAAGTTGCGAAGCATCCATTGGAGATGCACCCATCGGCGAAGCACCCATTGGCGAGCCAGAACCTGCTCAGATTAGTGACAATTTCATACCGAATGTTGAAAATGCCATGCTCGTACCTGGGATCTGCTGAGCTGTAGACTTCGTGCCCCAAGCGCCAGCCTCTGCACGGCGTTGGCTGTTTCCAGTCAGTAGTGATACTTTGTGTGAGTCTGATGGAACTTACAAATTAGGAGCAGAGCCAGAAGCACCAAATCCCTGAGCTATAGAATTGTCAGTATCATGATCGATGTTTGGAGCTCAAGTGATGCTTCATATCGGAACATGATTGAGAGTGAACACAGCGATGTAATCCGTGCGTTACGAGTCTGTACTTACGAGCTTGACCTGGCATCTGTCCTTGCTGCATCTGCGATGCACCGAACTGTTGAGCAGCCATTTGGTTAGGATCAAACTGAGGCGATCCATATCCGGCGCCGTCGGCCTGTTGTGGCCAAGATGGCGAGTTCATAGCGTAGCTGTTAGAGCCGCCAGATTGGCCTGAAGAAAGTCAGCACTTGAATCATGAAACAGATCGAAGGAGTGATGGCGCTGTAATTGCAATGAGTACTCACCTCCAAAGCCGCTTGGGCCCGTCGCGCCTTGTAGACTCGGTGCACCACCCATGCCGGGTTGCTGCGCATTCTGTGGAGGGAAAGCAGAGTTGGGCTGAGCATTCTGTTGAGCGAGAGAACCGCTCATGCTGTTTGGACCCATCCCTCCTGGACCCATGCCAGGTTGCTGAGCACTCTGTTGACCGAGGGCGTTGCTCAAACTGCCGCTGCCTGGAGCCATGCCGCTTGAAGCGCCGGATGGACCACTCATGCCGTTCTGTGGAGGCATCATTGAGTCCATGTCATTCTCAGAGTTGGACTTGGAAGCGCCAGGCATGCTATTCTGAGCGTTTTGCTGAGACTGAGTGCTTGGAGCGCCGTTCAGCGGAGTGGGCGGGCCATGCTGAGATCCAGGACCGGACGCACCCTGTTGAGCGTTCATGTTTGGAGGTGGAACCGTTCCTTGGCCCTGGCCTTGTCCTTGTGATGGTCCAGTCGGGGGCTTAGATGGGCTTGAGCCTGCATTTTGCTGAGCAGCTGGAAGAGCGGCGCTCGCGCCGTACCCAGATGGTGCCTGAGGGGACGTTGGGGGCTGACTGTGCGGCGGAGAAGGTGGCGTATCCTGTTTAGGCGACGTTGGAGGCTTCTCAGTTGGCTTCTCAGGCTGCTTGTTGCCGCCGTATGGCTGTGCAGGAGTGTCAGGCTTCTTCGGAGTATCAGGCTTGGGTGGCGTTGGGGAGTCTTCGTGAGGCTTGTCAGGATGGTCCTCTTCACCATAGGACTTCTGCTTTGGAGTATCGTGCGTCGGTGGGGTGTCTTGCTTTGGCGAGTCTGGCTTTGGCGAGTCTGGCTTTGGCGAGTCTGGCTTTG